GTACCAATAATGAGTAAGTTTCCTTTTTTAATACAAAATAAAAACGTTCCATCAATTTGAATTATTCCGCAAAAAGCTTGTGTTTGCATGTAAAAATGAGTTATTGGAGGAATTACAATAAATGAATAAATTTGAAAGTCTTTTGAATTTTCAGGTAATTCATCACCTTTCTTAAATGTATGCAATTCAATTTCATTGTTAACTTCTTTAACTAAAATCATTTCGCAGAATCCTTGTTCGATTTTGTTTATGATTGAAAAAATTGTTGAGAAATAATTGTAAGATTGAATTCTATCCCCTTTTGTGGTTCCTTTAAGTTTATTTACTATATTATGGAACATCGTATAAGTTGCATTGGGAATATTCAATTCTTTTGCAAAAATTTCTTTGCATTGAGGAACATTATCAGAATTTGCTAATTCATAGACTTTTTTTCCTGCTTGCAACTTAAGAATTTTTGGTATATTGTTACTCGGCTTGCATTGCTTTGCTCTATGCTCGTGTTTAATTACTGGAATGAAGAAAAGTTGACCATTTTCATGAGTCTTTACAAGCTCCATGCAAAATTGGCAGTTAGGACAACGAAACTTTTTTCCTTGCTCAAAATTTAATGGATAAAAAGAATTATATGAATCTTTTGCAATAAATATAGCAGCTTCTGTAGGATCTGTAAATTTTAATTTGCTATATCTTTCCTTGAGAATTGGAATTGGGGATTTTCAGGTATTTCCATTCTATATTTCAATTTTTTACGGGAATTCAATTCATTTTGAATTAAATCCAGCATATCAGCTCCATCTCCTTTTTCTTCATCAACAATAGCTTGGATGGATACTGATATAGTTTGATTCTCTTCCACTATTGTCGGTTCGCTTTCCGACATGAGATAAAATTGAAGGTTTAACGTACTTTTGATACTCTGAGTTAAAAAAAGATTTTCTTAACATAATTTGATTTATTGGTCCTTAAAAATTCTGATTCAAAATTGAATTGAATCGAACGAGTTTTCCTTTTGAGTCATTTCAAATATTCATGAGAAAGAAAAAATTCTAGCAATTTCAAATATTTTTGATTTGATTGAATTCAAAAGTGTCACAAATATTCAATGAGAAAGAGAAAAGAGATCGAATATGTTGTTTCTGAGCGAATAGTCAAGCAATATTTCGTTAAGTACAAAGATCAGCATCCGGAAAAAAATAAATGGGTATATCAAAATGAGATTCCGCAAGAAATATTTGAAAAATATCTAGAAACGAAGAAAACAGAAAATATTGATGAAATGTTACGCTGTACTCGAATTGTTCATGTTGTTGATCAAGATAAAAAAGAATTTTATCTTGAATTTTCAAAAAAAAATCAAATTCATCACATATTAAACAAGAATCTAGATGAAGAACATCAAAAGGCTTATATAGATTATCTTGAAAGTTTACTCAAACTTGAAATAAAAAATAAAAATTAAATTAAATTAACCCTCGTTAGGATATCGTTGCAAATAAAGATCTGTTTCTCAGAAAGATCCTGATTTTCTGATAAATATTCTGTTGTAACTTCTACAAGGTTTAAGATATGAAAAACATTTTTGAATATTTCATCGCTATCAAATCTGCGGAAACATCTGGAATATAATTTCAAATATTTGTGAAGATTTGAATTCTCAATTGCATAATTAATTAAAAATTCATGTGAATTTAAAAAATCGGTAGATGAAATTTGCATGGGTATAAGAGGAAGTACACAATAATACCCCTGAACTACATACTCTGTAAATGAATAGTGAGGAGAAAGACTTCGCAGAATTTCAAGTGTTTTTATGAATTCTAAAGCCATCTCAGATGTTATATCGACTGCTTTATAAAATAAAACTATAAATTTGAGAAGATAAACAAAATCTTCGTTATTTATAATTGAATTCACGTCATTAAAAAAGTTGAAATAATTTGATATTAGTATATCCGAACATGGAAGAGCAGTTGCATATCCTGGGTAATATTTTAATAATTTTGTAAAGAAATTTGCAATTGCATAAGTTGAATATTGATTTTCGTACTCAATAATACTAGAAAAAATTTCTTTCTTGAGTAAAACTGCGTTTTGGAAGAATTCAACGTCAAGAATATTGTTTTTAATCAAAGCAATAAATGTATCGATGATATAGAGAGAATTGTCACTGCTGCTTATGAAACGTAATATCTCATCATATTGATCGGAAAATGTTGATAAATAAAGGTATTGTATGTTATCTAAAGCTTTAAAATGAATTAATTTTAATGAAAAAATGAAAAAAATCTGGTTAATATAATGCGATAAATATTCGAATAAATTTTCCAGTAGTATCAAATCTATTTGAAAGATATTCGAAGAAGTGATATTTTGAATTGTGAATTTTAATATTGTTTCATTTTGTGTAGATTGCTCGATAATGAAATGTATCAAAAGATTCATTGAATATGAGTCAATGGAAAAGCTTAAATCCTTAGGGATATCCAAAATAAATCTTAATAAAGAAGATTCGTCTTGAAAATTAGCTTCCGAAAGTTCTATTTCAGTCGGAGCTGGAAGATTCCGATCATTTATGAATCTCGAAACGACAGAAAATTTGTATTGTTTATATTTCATTATTCGAAATGATAAACTTCAAAATCTAAAATTTATTTTTTTACAATATATTTCATCCTATTGTCAAGGCTAAATTTTTCACCGGAAGTGTATCAAAAATTGATAAGATTTACGGTGATCTAATTATGACAATTCAATGCATCTCGTGATATAACGCAGATATAAACACAACTGATATTGCATAACTAATAATTGAGTCAAATAACTAAATTATGTGTTATATTTTACATATTTTTCAATTTTGTAATAAATGGATGTTTAACACTAATTTTTTAAGGACTTCGACTTTAGCATCACATAAATATGTTATTTTCTATATTAAAACGTAATTTTGGTGGTCTTAGAATAGAAAAATATGCAATATTCGTGGAGATAATGAGGGTTCTTAAACATGTTCTTAAAAATAAATAAAATAATACAAATCTTTATTCAATCTTTTGATATTGTTGGTCCTCTCTTTGTGAAAATACTTAACTTCAAAGAGTATTATGTTTTACCTAGTGAGGACCTTAAGTTTGCAAAAACATAATAAAAGTAAAATAAAAAAGATCGGATTTATCACAAAACTTTGAGTATTATAGGATTTAATATATTTTCTTAGTAGATTATATGATTTAGTTTCTTAAAATCTAAAGTATTTCTTGAGGAAAATATAAATTGAAATTCAAAAAGTAAAAAAAATGTAAACAAATCAAATTTTAAATGGACCAAATGTTGATTTTTCATTCGTTTTCTCATTATCGAAAAAAATTTGGAAAGCTAAGAAGTCAATAACAAGTTATATAATACAACAAAACCCATCGGATATGTTTTCATCAAATAGTCTCCTAGATTTGTTATGAAATTAAAATATCATGATATTTTAAGGGCTTTTGATTTCAATATTAGAATTATTCAGTTATGTTGTGCTAATATCAATTGCTTTATACAATTAATTGTTTACAGGCTGCAAAAATCGAACAATAATTTGACTTTGTAAAAAAAGTGCATCATTTTTATTCGTTATACTTACAAAATGTAAACATTACGAGAAACATTTACATTTGTAAATGTAACAAGTAAAGTTGTATCGCATAATTTGACTTTGTAAAAAAAGTGCATCATTTTTATTCGTTATACTTACAAAATGTAAACATTACGAGAAACATTTACATTTGTAAATGTAACAAGTAAATACATCAGATTTAAATTGTAAATGTAGTTTATCTCTCTCATCTCCTTTTTAAAAGGTATTACATACATACGAACACATGGGTCACTCAATAATTAGCGTGATAATAATTGAGGATAGACTGTAATCGTAATTTTATTTTTGGACTTATATTTCGACATTTTGAAGTCGCTTGAAAGTCTTGCAAATGATTAAATTTGGAAAATTTGACCTAAGTCTGCATTATTTTGATGACTTAAACAATTCTATAAATCTGTTTTCCTAAAAATTTAAAAAGATATAATTTCAATTTCCCTAAATTTATGTAATTCATATATCACCAAAATATTTGGACTGCATTTTGTTTGTCTGCACCTAATTAAAGTCTAAATACCAATTAATTTTGGAGTTGCATTGCTTTTAATGTAAAAATGCACGTTTAGAAAAAGACGATAACAATTAAATTACAAAATCGATAACGACGACGATTAAATTACAAAATCGATAACCTCTCTGATTAAATTCTAAATAAATTTTTATATTTCAATTTTTGAATCAACATTTATAAAAAAATTTCAATGCGATTTTTTGAAAAGTTTCTATTTTTTCTATGCTCGTGTCAAATTCAATTGAGACAAAAGAAAAGCTATTTTTACCGCTGAATCTAAATAGTAATTATTTTAAGAAACCACATATAATTCAATGGACTTCGAATTTCATTACAAATATTGATTTTCTTATTTAACAAAATCAATAATATCTACTTTGAAAAATTTTGATCTCAAATAATATTTACTCTTAAAATAAACTCTTATTTAACTTTACGGTTAATAAATATTGCTATAGCAAAGACAACTCTGAGAAAATCATTTTGAGAGTGATGATTTAATATCAGTTAATTGAATATTGAACTAACAAGGACATTTATTTTTTATGTTCGTCCCACGATAAAATTCAATCTCATACTGACAAAATTTTCAAAAATGACATCTCACGGTTTAAGGAAAATCATATTCCAAAAATAACATAATATCTATCCTTTTGTAAATTTAAATTTGGAGGATCACTTTTATAATCTCATATTTTCCTTTAATTTTGGGATTTGATAATTTTCTTTCAGAATCAGTGATTTGTAACACAATCATCTGAAATGACATCAAAAACCATACCCAAATAGTTGAAATAAACAGTTTATTTATAATTTCCAAAAGTAATGTTACATGATTAAATATTACAAATTGAGAAGTCCTTTTCTTTTTGCTGGCTGAGGAGAGCTTGAAACATCAGGAAGCTCAGGAAGTGTGTCGTAGCCGTTTCCATCAAAGTCAGAGTCATCTTCCCATATTGGTGCTCTATCCTGTTTAGGAGGTGACCTTGGATTTTGTTGTTTTTGTTCTTCTTGAGGTTTCCATGATTTGCCAATACCTCTGGGACCAGGAGATGCAGTAGAAGAGTTGATAGATGATGATGCAAGTGCATGTACGTATTGCCTTTTCGTCATTCCATCTGGATGAGGAATGTCATCATAATAGTTGACTTTTTCAGTTTTCGTCGTTGTTGCTTGGAAATCATCGTTTGGAGAGTTGACATCGTAATCAGAATACATAAGATCATCATGATTATCATTGTTATTGTTACTGTAGTACTTTTCATCTTCAGGATTGTAAGTATTCTCGTAATACTTGTCTTCATCTGGATTATAAGTGTTTGCGTAATAATCATCTTCTTCATCTGGATTATAATATTGACCATTACCATAATTATCGTCTTGATAAGTGTCATTGTACTGATCGTTATAATTATTTCCTTGGTCATTGTAAAATTGATTGAACCGTGGGTCATCGTATGGTATATCCTCTTCTTCTTCAAAATATTGTTCTCCTGTCTGATAATTTGGATCGGGGTTAACTTCTCCAGTCTCAGAAAAGTTACGAACACGTCCTTTATGGGAAGGTTCGCTATAATCGTCATCATAAAATGGAAGATTTGGTGGAGGAACTGTTGTTGTTCCTGTAATTACGCCTGTATCGCTGAATGAATCTTGATCATCGACGTTAAATCCTTGAGGGAAAGATTTATTCGGTTGGATATCTTCAGGTTCTTCCATAGAATCTGAATGGCGGATTCTTTGGGCTGGAGTATTATGAAATTCTTCAAATTCAATATCTTCATCATCCATTTTATCATTTGGATGGCTTGAAGATGGTGCTTCTTCTCTGGTACTCTTATCCATGTCAGGTTCAGATAAGAAATCGTCAGAATCATCCTTCTTTGTTGAATTTGAATTTTGCTTGGAAGCAGGCTTTGTTGTTGTAACAACAACGGTAACTGGTTTCTTTGGTTGTTCTGCAGGTTTCGTTTCTTGTGGCTTTGGAGTGACTTTTGGTGGTGGATTTTCAACAGGTTTTGGTTTATTTTGAATTTCTTCTTTCTTTTCAGCGGGCTTGGGCTTTGATTCTTCTACCTTTGGCTTTGGAGTTTCCTGTGGCTTAGAATTCCTTTGAACGACTGAGGTCTCAACTTTAATTTCGCTTTCTGATGAAGTTGTAAACATTTTCTGATCAAATGGAACTTGATTAACTTTAGGCTTGCTTTCTTGTTTTTGTGGAGTTTGTTTTTTATCTTTTTCTTGTGATTTGTTATTTTGATAATTATTCACGTTATCTTTGGTGATTTGGTTAGGACGAATAGTCACAACATGATCAAATTCATCGTTATCAGAGTGTTTCTTCTTTGGTGCAGATGAAGAATTGCTTTCGTATTTATTTTCTTGTTCTTTCTTCTTTTTGTTTGCGAGTATTTGCGCTGTAGAAGCTAATGATTCAATAGTAATAGTTGATTTAAGATCATCAATCTTCTTCTTGAATCCGGCAAGTTGCCTGGTTGTTTTCTTTTGTTGAGTTGTAAGCATTTTTATTGCTTCTTGTATTTCATTCGAAGAATTAACTGAAGATGGCTGAGGTTGGAGAGCCATTGTAATGCTTGAGAAGACTTGATCTTCGTTTTTATGTGGCGTTCTCAAATTTTGCCAAATAATCGCTGCGTTTTGATGTCTTTGGAACATGTGAGCATCAAGTTTAGAAAGTGAAGGTAAATCTTTAAGACAAATTGGACATTTTTGCGAATATAAACTCTTTTTTGTTTCAACTTGATTTTTAAGTGCGGAATTTTCTCGGTTTAGCTTTTTAACCATTGATTTTAACTTTCTAATGGAATCTTTATTATTTTCGATAATGATTTGTAAAATTGAAAATAACTTTTGAACTTCATTCATATTTTGATTGTAAAATGTTGTTGAATCGAGGAATTCCTCTTGAATTTGTGAAAGTGTATGCCTGTCTTTCGTTTGGCTCAAAGTTCTAATGTCAATAGACGAAATCGAAGCCCAATTAAAGCCATTAATATCATTAATGACATTATTAGTTGGTTGTGGAGGATTTTGTGCAATCATGATTGTTGGAGGCTGACTTTGAGGCCATAGAAATCTTGATTGCATTTATTTTTTATTTCAAAAATGGAGCAAAAACGTTATTGCCTTGATTTATATTAATTTTAAAATACTCATACCAAATAGTTGAATTAGAATCAAATAAACTCATATTTATTCAGTTTCGAGCAGAAATTTGATATCAAATTTTCAAAAATCACCATTTTTCATGTTTAATGCAGCTAAATCATTACATATAAATTTATACAGGTTATGACCATATCGAATTCACTATATCTTCAAAAATTATTTTGCGATCTTTGTTTTTCTGCACAGGGAGCTTTATAAAGTGGAAAACACATAAATAATGCAGATACAAATTCTTTTTCATTAGGAAAAATAATTTCTATTTTGGTGGGAGATGTAAAAAACCGTCCAATCTTTGACAAAATTTTGAAGATGAAAAAGATAAAAACAATCATAGTAGGTGAAGCATGTGTTGGAAAAACATGCATCGCAGTTAGATTTGCTAGAAATGAGTATAATGAGGCAACTTATGCAACAGTTGGCGCTGCAAACTTAACACATGAAATGGAAACAAGTAAAGGACCTATCACATTTAATATTTGGGATACTGCAGGTCAGGAGAGATACAGAAGCTTAACTCCAATGTATTTTTCAAACTCTCAAGTTGCGATTTTAGTTTTTGATATTACATCTAAAAATTCTCTTGAAGGACTCGATAATTTCTATCAATTGCTTCAACAAAAAGCTCCAAAAGATTGTGCACTAGTACTTGTCGGTAACAAATCTGATATTGCTGGTAAAAGACAAGTAAAACCTGAAGAAGCACAAGAATACGCAAATAAAATAGGTGCCTTATTCTATCAGGAAACTTCTGCTGCTACCGGTGAAGGAATTAATGATTTATTCGAAAAAATAGCAACATGTGGAAGTGTTACTATTAAGAGTGAAGATATCGACTATATTGACTTCTCAAAACGCTCGGGACGTGGTTGCTGCTAATCAATTTTGTTAAATGAATGTAAATAATAAAAAATCTAACTGTATGACTATTCCATGAATTAATATTACTAAAAACAAACTCTTTTGCAATCTATTTAGCGAACATTTTGTTTTATTCAATATCGTCTTTTTAGAAACTTTCAGTTCCATTGGTTCTAATCCACTAAAATCATCATAAATAAGGAGTTCACTCCCGGCTTAATAATTGTTTTTACGAATTCCTTCAGTAAGATTTTTTCGAAATTACGCAAATTGGCATAAATGCAGATAAAGGTACATTCACTAGGCGATAACAGTAAAATGGGATGAAAATAGGATAAATAGCATCCCTATATAGTGCCTAACAATATTTATACGGGCCAAAAAAATTTGGCTAGAGATTTGGCGAGTTATAAAACTTAGAAAATTGAGAGGAATTTTTATTTTCAAATTTTTTTGGAAAGTTAAAATTGTGATTAAAAATCGATTTCCGGGAGAACTAAGCATCTCATCATATATTTAAATCGATAAAAATATTAAATAATAGTTGAATAGTATAACAACATAAAATTATGGCTGAATCTACAGAAAAAATGAACATATTTGACATTTTTGAAAATTCATACGTTAGATGGTGACAGACTCAGAAACTATACTTTAGCTAAGATTGATATATGGTTTCAACAACACATGGTTAAAATCGTAAAAATATTTTAGATTTCAAAAAGATATATATGGTAATATAATGGAACAAAGTCAACAAATAGCATGTTAAATATGTTATAATTAATTTTTTATTAGATCCAATAGTAGATATCGAATGGTTTCCAGCTTTATGGTTAAATATTTTCTTTTCGAGCTTCTCTTTAACTGTTGTATTAAGGTTGTAAATTTTTGATGCTAGAAACTATGGAATCTTCTTTGCTGCTGCATTTTTCTTGAGAGTTCTTGCAATTTCGAATAGATCTGCGCATTGTATGAAATTGAGGCTTTAAAATATCTTGAAAACAGAATAGGACTGCTTTTCCAAAGGAATGCTTACTTGTAAATCAGAGAGTTTCAAAATTGAGAGCAAGATTATCATCATAACTTTCGATTTTGCTGCGAAAAAGGAAGACAAGTAATTAACAAATCATTTACTGTTGTTCATCAAAAGAAGAAAACTTTGATAACAACTAATGATGATAAAATCAAGCTATCTTTTAATATTTTAAATTGATAAGACATTCAAAATATTTGAATGGTTTAAAATATTTTCTTTTAATTTCTCTAATATATTATCATGATTATATAATCAAATTTAAATTTTTATTCAAAAAGGCAATATTTCAAACTTTTAATTTCAAAAATCTTAATTCTGCAATAAGTGTATTTAATTGTAGCAAATTTAATGATCCTTCGTCATGCTTAGCAATTTGGAACTCATAAATTAATGATTTCTTCAAGTAAAATTCTGCATTATTTCAAAAGTCAATAATTCTCTAGTAACTTTTCTTCAAACCCTAACCATTATATTATATTATATGTATAATGGAGAATAATTGCAAAGAAAGATAGCCGAATTTACTGGGTAGTTCTTGTGATGCGAAATAATTGCAAATTAACACCTAGTTTTAACAGCATCAATCTCTTTTTGCTCTCATTTAAATGCATTCGCACACTTTAATTTTGAAATATAAGAGTTTTGGAAATTATCAAATTTATCTGCTCAAATACTATAGATCTTCATAAGTGTTAATAGAATCATTAGCCTTACATATAGTGTTTAATATAATGATGCACATTATACTGGGATTCATTCCTTATTCATCTAGTTATTATAAGATTTACAACCCCATGAAAATTTAAAATTTTGTCAAAAATAGTGAATGTACCTTTATGCAGATTTTATTTAGTTTTTCTGTTTTGATAGATTCTATGAGTATTTTTAATAACCGATGAAATTTTGTTATCAAAATTTTGGAACCCATTCATTTTTCACAGAAATTTTATATAGCAACATGTCCCTTATATTATTATTTCAAAATGACAAAAACTTTTTTTCAAATCATAACAAATGAAAAACGCCGAGTCTGCAGGAACATACAAAGTTGTCATGCTTGGCAACTCTGGAGTTGGCAAAACAGCTTTAATAGAAAGAATCACACACGATGAGTTCGTTGTTGCTCATGTTGCAACTGTTGGCGCTCAATATTCAACAGTTGATTTTACAATACAAAAGAAGAAAATTACATTAGAGTTATGGGATACAGCAGGACAAGAAATTTTCCGTTCATTAGTTTCATTTTATGCCAGAGATGCTAAAGGCGTTTTTCTGGTGGCAGATATTACACAAGATGGAACGATGACAGACTTAGAAAGATGGAAAGATTTTATTAAAGAGCAAGCTCCTGATGCTCAAGTTATTTTATTTGCAAACAAACACGATTTGAATGATCAAAGAGTAGTAAAGGAAGAAGAGTTTGAGAATTTCGCAAAAGAATATAACTACCATTATATGGAAGGTAGCGCAAAGACTAATGAAGGCGTACAAGATGGCTTCGTTCGCATGGCGGAAATTGTTTCCGAAAAAATCATGGAAAAAGGTGAACAGGAATCTTCTGTTAAACTGAAACAAGCTGAAGAGAGCAAACCATGCTGCTAAGTTTTTCCCATTTTAATATTAGTTACTCCAATGCTATCTGTACTGAATAAACAAATACAATATTTTTGTTTAACTCAAAAAATTCTTATATTACTGACGAAAATTATTTTTGGTTGGAGATTTTATTTCTTAATTCGAAATTTTGAACAACTTATGTAGAAAATATAAATCTTATAGGATAATTCTCTGATACTTGCAAGCGGACACATAAAAATTATACAAACATCATTTTCAAGATCAAATCTATTCAAATTATCGTCCATAGTCAAGATATGACAATTATTAGAGTAAGAAAGATTAAAAGTAATGATATTAGGCCGAAAAAAGTTTTTGATATAAATGAAAAAAATTATTATATTACAATTGACTATTTTAATGGAGGGATTATTAATACTAATCATTGTAATTTTAAAAAAACATCTAAAGAAGTATGGATTGATAAACAATTAAAAAATTGAAAATTATATAAAAGAAATAAGCTGTCAGTTAGTATTTCACCAATTCAGCTCTTTGGTATTAATTTATACACTTAAAAAATGAGACTTAAGAAAAAAAGGTATCAATTTGTATTTCTATTAACTGACAGTAGCAAAATTTTAATTATAACAAAAGGAAGATCTATAAACAGAGTATAATTTCAAAAACTAAAATACCTTTGACATTTCATTCTGAACTTCATCTAATTGTCCAGACTCACATGTCATATAAACTTCATCACCATCAATAATCTGTGTGTCCTCTGTCGGGAACAAAGGAGTTTTATCTCTTATGATGTGAGTAATCATTGCTCCTTTAGGAAGAATGACTTCTCTCACTGTTAGACCACAAACCATTGATTCAAGGGTGACCAAGAATGAGAACTCTTCGAAATTGATGGAATCATCTTCATCACGTTTTTCTACTAATGCTTCCATCAATTTCTCGTACAAAGGTTCAATTCTCATCAATTCTACAGCAATATAAGCGAAAGCAACAGCTGTTGACGGGCCAAGCCAGCCAGTGTACTGAAGAGTGAATTCAACAGGTAGAATGACAGCTGTGAGTGGAGCACGAACAACTCCGGTGAAGAAAGAAGACATAGTCATAATTGCCATGTAAGAGAATCTCGTACTATCATATCCTGCTTTGATCATGAGCTTGGCAATCAATCCACCCCATAAACCTCCAACAGAAAGCATAGGGATGAAGATACCGCCGGATATCTTTGAACCAAAGCAGAATAAAATAGAAGCAAAGCGAACAAAGAAGCAAACAGCAATCTCCCATGTCTTCATTTGGTTGTCAAGAACCTTTTTAAGTGTATCTCCGCCACCATATGCGCCATCTGGGAAGAAGCAGCATAATACGGTATCAACAATCTCAGGTAATATGACATAGAATTGAATCGGAAGGAATTTAGCGTGTTTGTAAAGATTTCGCGCCCTTCGAATTAATAAATTGAAAATTGCACCCATAACGCCGCCAGTAATACCACAGAATATTGATACACCGAATGTTTGGATGTTGAATTCTTCAACTTCTAGGAATTGTATCTTCAATGCACGTGGTTTGAATAATAAGTGGCTGATAATCTGAGAAATCGAAACACAAATGATAGAGACCACGATAACTTGTGTAGAGAATTTCCTATAAACTTCTTCTAAAGCGAAAATAAGTCCAGAAAGAGGAGCATCGAAGGCTACAGCTAAACCAGCTGAAGATCCTGCTGCGACAAGGAGCATATCATGCAGTTGGTTCATTTTGATAAGCTTACCGAGTGCATAACCAATGCATCCACCAAGATAAACTGATGGGCCTTCAGATCCAATGGAAAGACCTGTAAATATACCGACTAAGCTAATGACAAACATGGCTGGAAGTGAATAGTACCATGTAAGACTTAAATTACCGCGAGCAACACTCTCGATATAAGGAATGCCACTTCCTCTGACTTCACTAAAGTATTTAAGACCATATCCAAGACCAATTCCGATAATTATATTGACTACGAATGCTAATGGTAAAAATTTCTTATTCTTTTTGATTTTTTCAAAGATTTTGATGTTTTGGTCTGTTAATAAAGTTGCTAAATATTGATATAAACCAGTAATGAGTCCACACAAGATTCCGCAAAGAAGACCAACACCAATGAGTGGGAGAAATAGTTTCTTTAAGAATGTTAAATATTGTTTTCGCTTTTTAAACTTGTTTCCGTCATTGGGTGGTGCAGGAGCTTCTGATTTTGGTGGTAATTCTGGGTCTTTATGCTCCGTATTAACAGTAACGGGCTCTTCTTGCGAGGCAGAGCTGGATGAAGATTCAGACATGGATTTTGAATAAAATCTAAAAACTTGTGTGCTCAGAAAAATTTACAGTATATATTAACCAGAATAATATTCTAGAATTTTCTTTTTTACGTTCATCAATTCTATTTTTCTGAAGATATAAACTTTTTTCAAACTAAAACCTAATATAATATTTTTATTATATAAATATTATTGGTTTCATATTTGAATGTTTTATTTGTGAATAGATCTCTGAAAAATTCTAGAATGAAATTCTCTCATTTTATGAAGGGAATCATATATGATTTAAAAATGTGAAAGTTCTTTAACCCTTTAAGAGTAAATATGGTCATGATTTGAATGAAAGTAGATTACGATCACTATTCAAAATTTCAATTGCATTGACGATCATTTTTTTTTCTCACAGCAAATTTCGATAACGAAAAACGAGCAACATAAGGGGCTATTTGAGCATTCACTCTGAATCACATTTCACTCTAAAGATGTCTATATTAAACTTTTAAAACTCTGAAGAAAATATTCCGAAAATAAAGCTTTTTCTGCAGTAATTTTTTATTCAGGAGTGGTCTTTTGAGAAGGCAGAATTACATTTTTGAAATAATTCTTTTAATTTAAATTAAAAAGAAAGGGAAAATACTGACTAAAATTTCAGGTTTATATTTGAAAAATATTAATTATGCTTTGCCCTTGATAGCATTACTCTTCATTGTAAGACTGTCAGTGACAAGTTTAATAATCGCGGTTCTCTTTAATGATGCCTCTGCGTACTTGCCTAGAGGAACATCAAATTGTTGGAGAAGTGTGTCTAAAGCGGCTTTTATTTCTTCTTTGTGAGTAACAATTTCAACTTTTCCTTCTGCGATTACAGACTCGTAGAACATTGTTGCCGTGCATACTGGCTTACTAGATGTGTAAGAGAGTTGGAGTGGTTTTGAGATTGAAAGGCATCCAAGTGGATTATTGTTAATCGTTGCGATTTTTCTGCCTGTAGTAGCTCCATGGAAGTAAAATGTTGTATACTTTTGGTTTTTATCCCATGTGAAACCGTAACATAACGGAATTCCATATGGAACATTATTATCGCTCATTGATAAAACTCCATAAGGCTGTTCTTTGAGGAATTTCTTGATTTGTACGTATTTACATTGAAGCTACTTTACTATTATTTCTCTCATCAATTGATGAGAGAATTCAAAGTAAAGCAGCTCCAAAAAGAAAGTGAGAAGAAAAGAAGGAAAAAGAGAAGAAAGAAAAGAAGGAGAGAGAAAGAGGAAAAGAGAAAAAGAAAAAAGGACATATTAAATATGATATGCTGTTTTTAGTGCCGAGGCGGCGAAGCCGCCGAGGCATGATTTTTTTGGTCTCTTCCTTCCACGTGGTAAGCTTTTTTAAAAGTTTGGACAGGCCTAGAAATACTATATATATGTAGATTGAATTCTTTTATTTTGGCACTTTTTTTAATGTTTTTTTTCCTCCAACACTCAGCCCCCAATTCAAATCAAGCATTTACCAACGTAAAATACCGGTATTCCAATCAATAAGAGGACAGTTCTGTCAAGACCCTTCCTGATTTGAAGGAACTTGAAAGAACTGCTCTTTAACCGACTTCAAATAAGAAAATTTCACTCATATTATCATGTTAACATCGAAACTACTGCCATTTAGAGAGCAGTTCTTTCAAGATCTTCGAAGATTTGGAAGATCTTGAAAGAACTACTCTTAAAATGGCAGTAATTACCGTAACTTTCTACTTGATAGTAACAATACCGAAGCTACAGCCATTTAGAGGGCAGTTCTTCCAAGATCTTCCAAATCTTCGAAGATCTTGAACGAACTACTCTTAAAAATGGCTGTATTACGAGAGGGTTTGATTTTTCATTTATTAAAATTGTATTCTATGATATAATTTAATTCAAGATTTGTATTTCTGTTATTTTTGTGATATCATTCAAGTATATATATCAGAATATGCACATAATGATACCACATATACTTAAACTATACGTATTTAAATCTTAGCGATCAATATAATTTTTTTTTGTAATATCGAATAAAAGTTTGTTTTCGCATTTCCGTTTTATTTGACTACATGAAGATAAAAATTCTTGAGAACGATTTTAAATAAATTGCCAAATTGAAGAATTCGATATATGATGATATTCACTGATTTCTGCCAAACTTGTAGGAATGAATCCATTTAGAATAAAAACGATTTGTGCATTGGAAGCTCAGAACAAGTTATGTTCATTATCCCAATATGAAGAAAATGCACGTTTAGAAAAAGACGATAACGATTAAATTATAAAATCGATAACGATAACGATTAAATTACAAAATCGATAACGACCCTTAAATTCGCCAGATGCTTTATATTATTTAAGAGATACAGATAAAATCGCGCAAGTTATACCAGGGAGAAATCTCGTGAAACAAATAAATAAAGAACCATTATATTTATTTCTCACTATTGGAAGTCAAAGACCTGTATTTAGTTTTGACGTGAAAAATTCTAAAGATACAGTTCCAAAAAATGTTGTCATATATGACAAAGATGTTCCAAATCTGTCACCAGATCAGGAAGAGGAGCCTGTGGAAGAAGAAAAAATCCATCAATTACCTGAAGATTCAGGTTCACAATCAGAAGAAGTGCCTGAGCCACCTCCCCCAACGGAATCAACTCCTGAACCACCACCAACCACTGAATCTACACCAGAACCTCCTCCTACGACAGAATCAACACCAGAACCCCCTCCTCCAACAACTGAATCTACTCCTGCTCCACCAGCAACGACAGAACCAACACCTGAACCTCCAAAATCGTCATCTCCTACAGTTCAAATACAATCAACTCCAGAAGATACGCCAGATGCAACTTGGGAAGGAGATTGGGATGATCCACCAGGAGTTATAATAAGAGGTAATGATATACCAGAAATTCAAGAAACTCATCCACCAATTCAAACGAATTATATCAAAACAGAAGTTCCGAAAGTAACAAAGTTTATTAATGTTTCATGTGGAACAGGTGTGATAGTTGCCATAGTGATATTGACGGTATTAAACATCGCAAGAACTATCAGAAGAATTAAAGTTCATGGAAACGAAACGTTTAGTAATAACGATGAATTTGAAGATTTATCATCTTCATTTTTGTTGTATAGTTCAGAGGTTGACTCCTTTGATGCTTTTATTGCAGAATGATTTTATATAATCATTTTGATATTGTATTTGTTATTTAGTATTTGTAAATGTTTTAGTATCTCATCTTATTCCAAGCAGCAATTTCGATTAATATGAATATCTTTATTAAAATATATAATAATTTATATTCTTGGTCATATTCACTATTTTCATGTAAATATATTAATTCTTCTTTGTTAGCGCTGAAATTTCTTTAATGAAATTTTTTTCGAAAAACTTTGTTTTTCTCTAATCAACTCTATGATTTTAAGACTATGGCTCGTGGCAATTCAATTTTGAATATCTAAACTACTAACTTAAAAAAAATATTGCGTTCATTTCAAAAATATTATTTGTTGTAGATTTTCATCTGTTTCCTGTTGCAAAAAGCATAAGTAGAAAAGGTTATTCATATTTTGATGGTAAACAATATTTTGGAAGAATCTCTCTTTCTATTAAATTTTCCGTAAACACTATTCAAATTCTCTCAATATTTCAGATGATTACGGAATATAAAATAGAAAAAATAAAATAAGCACGATCTTTCAAAATTTTAGTAGAATTGTATCATTATTTGTCACAGCTCTTTTAGAGCTATTTATTTTGAATGCTGTATAGAAAAGTGACAAATTTATGAAGAATTTAGCTTTTTTATTATTTGCCTTCAGCTTTCTATCTTTTACTTTTGAGGGTTACTCAGGTAAGAGAATCAGCATCATTAAGCAAGTAAGATCAATTTTTACTAAAATTGATGCCAATGAAATTCCTTCTACACTTAAAAACGGAGATTTTATTTATTTCAATACAAATAATGTCTCATACAATTTAATTGAAGATCCGGAGTTTAACATAACTCAAACTTGCGGAGAATTAAGAAGAGAAGTTCAATATTGTATGTGGAATCAATATATTAAGGTCACTAGATCCGGATCTAGTGTTAAAAAGGACTATTCGTACCATAAAATCTGGTCAGCTACTCCAATCAAGTCCAGAAGATTTAGAAACTCAAAGATTAAAAACCCAACAGTAGATGAAATTGCAGATATGAAATTCCATAACAATATGACCGCTGGACTTCTTAATATTACGAATGCATTGCACTTTATTGGCCCAAATACTGTTTTTCAACCAGATTCTGAGGAATTAGCTCACTTTTCTTCTTCCTCTCATGCAGAACGTTTTAATTATACGAAGAATGGTATTTTTTACTCAGAATTTAAGAATGGAACTCTTAAATCTTTAATAAATTCGAATTATTTCTCCGATTTTAGCAGCGACACATACAACAGCTGGTGCGAACCAGGTGATAGAAGAATGCGCTTTACAACTTGGGCACCAAAATACGTAACTGTCGTTGGAAAATTCTTTAATAATACTGTTATACCAGGAGAGTTCAAAGAATTCAAGATCGGTTCCGTATTTTCTGGTTACGTTACATTGGAGCAGGCATTGTCCGTTAACTACTCAATAATTCCAACAATTATCAAATGGATGTTTAGATTTGTTTTCCTTGGCTTCATTTCTTATTGCATTGTCAAGAAGATAAGCATTAATGTTACTTCTCTTGGTATTTACATCTTAGGAATGGTAATTTCCCATCCATCTTTGAATAATGACTATTACAGGAACAAAGACATTACAATTATTTGTTTAATTTCATTCCTTGTTTCAATCCCGATCAGTTACTTTTACTTCATTGAAAAAGATTCAGAAATATAATTTATTTGTTTTTAACATTGTTTTTTCTTTAAGAATAAAATCAACATCTACTGTGAATCATATCTCTTTCTTATTTATTTTAAATCAACAAAATTATTTTTCGAAATTTCTAATATGAAATGAAACAATTTACTTAAATGCATCCTACTAGCAACAGAATGTAAATTTCAAATTTCTCAGTAAGATGACCCTAAAGATAATCATATTTTTGAATTTATCTATCTTTATCTCAATACAGGAATCAACTAGCTTAAATAATATGTGTATTGCATGCAAACTATTGAAAAAGAAATGTTATATAGAAAACTACAAAACAAATACAAATAATTTTTATTCGGACATAATGGATGCGAATTCTTTATAAAGATTTTCATTTTGAGGACCTAAAATCTGTTTGATATTCTTAAGAGTCTCTGCATTGCTGCAATTTGAATTGTTATGACGTTGAATTTCTTGTATCAGTAAATTAAAGTCAGAATATGTTAACTGTTCTTTAGCTTTTTGCAAAAGTTGCCCAGATTTACTAGTAGAAGCCCTTTTTGGAGTGGTTGATTTATGTAATTTCGGAGAAATAGGACTTATCTTTGGATTTTGGGGAGGTGGACTTAAATCTTCATATAAAGGTTGAATTGTCGATTTATTTGTTGGTAATTGTGTGATTGATACTGGATTTGTCGCAACACCTGCGCCACCATCTAGTATTGTCCTTAGAGATTGATTTAATTGGTTATATTTTGCAATTTCTTGCTCTTTTTCTTTAAGCTGCTTTGCTAATTGGTTATTAATCTTTCGTAATTTCTCGCATTCATTTGAGATTTCATTCATATCAGATTGTAATTGTGTGTTAATGTTTACAGCTTCAGATAGCTGTGATTGTAATGAAGTTACTTGATTTTGAAGTTCAAGTGTTCGTTTTTGCCAAAGTTTAACTTCTTTTGATCTCTGCTGCTTAGAATTCTCTATTGCTATCTGTAATGCATTGACAGCTGCATCAAGTTGTTCATTTGAATCAGATTCAATCATAAAATCTTTAAACGTATTCAGTTTACAAAATTGAGAAATCATACAATTTCTATCGCACCAGAAATTCAAAATATCTTGAGAATTAAATACTTGCATTTCTTCATATTCGAAAATTTTTAGTTTTCAAAATTTTTCAATGTTTGTAGAATTGGAGAAGCGTTATCTTCAAGTATTAATCTTTTATGTCCATATTTTCCTTCATGATACTTAATTTCACGTCCTATTTCTCCAATAGCCTGATTCTTTTTTATTAAGGACGAGAAAAAGACCAATAATATAAGATAGTTACTATTTATTTAACTTTCATACATCATGATAAAAACATTAGCAAAAAAGTTTAAATTATAAGTAAATCTGCAAAAGCATGTCAATTTGTAGTTGAGGATTGTGATTCTAATACATCCTCGTCCATAATTCCCAATACCATGAGAGTTGTGGCTGTAGTAAAGAGGCATCAATGTGCTTCCGCGCTGCATTGATGGATTTTCAAATGATATAGGGTGTCCAAAGGTGTGTTTAGCACAAACCTGAATACTGCGAATAGAAATAAACAAGTTACATATATATAAAGTTTATTTAAATATAATCACCATTGGATTCAATCACGCGTTCGCAGCGATCGATCCAGGCTTGAAAGACACGCTTTAAATCATCATGAGAAAATTGCTCAAATTGCTCTCTTACAAAATTTTCAAGATCATCTGGACTCGCGAATTCGCGTCCTTCAGCTCTCTTTTTTAGCGTGCCGAATAAATAAAACTCAGATGGTGCAATATCAGGCGAATAAATTGGGTTTGGAACAACTTTGACATTGTTTTCCACCAAGTAATTCATTACCTTATGACTTTTGTGAACTCTTGAATTATCAAAATGAATTGCAAACTTTTGTTTTTGTTGTTTGGATTTCTCAAACTCATCAGAATTGATAATTTGAGTAAGAACATTGTCAATTAGATACTGAGCATTCATCGTATTAGGTTTTTGAAGAATATCAATTGCGATGATGCCATTCACGCCCCAAAAAACCGACAACATCATCATTGGTGTGTCAATTTTTTTCTTCGGGAATGTTTGCGGATTTTCATCCTTCGGGATCCACATGATTTTGGCTTCTGTTGCATATTGAAACCAAGACTCGTCCCCTGTTACTAAAAAGCGAAACTTCTTGGATTGATACGCACCCAATATAGAGAGGAGATCTTTCGAAGATTGGACTCTAGATTTTTTTTGAACTGAATTAAGGTTGTGCGGAACCCAACGTGTATACGCTAGTTTGTAGTTCAAATAATTGTGCAAATAATAACTGACTGTTGTACATGGTATCTTTGTCATCTCCTCTATCTAGGGCTGTACAAGATTTAAAAAAACATTGCCGGGTTACCGTAGAGGCCTAAAAAAATCGCGCCTCGGCGGCAAGCCGCCTCGGCATTAAGAATGCGCATCTAAATTTTTATATGTCCTTCTTTCTTTTATTTTTCCCTTCCCTTTCTTTTCTTTTTCTTTTTTTCCCTCCTCTTGCTCTCATTTACCTTTTTTTCCTTTTCTCATCATTTTTCAAAATTTAAAATTTTTATCAAAAATCTTGCCTATAAAAGCAGATTATGGAACCTTTTAATGCCTCTTAATCAATATTATACAGCATAAAGCATATTAAATGAAAGTAATTACGTATAAATTTATTTTATTATCTTATTTATTAATTCTTTAGCATGTATTGTTTAATATTAACTTTTCTGTACATTAAATATGATATCTCCAAAGTATGAATGCCTTGTAACGAAACGAAAACTTAATTTTGAGATTGGGACAAAGTTGCAATTCGGCACTTTTTGTAAAAAAATGGGGTCATACTCATAATGAATAGAGACTTATAGCCAAGTCTTGATATCATGCAGGGAGAATATACATTGATAAGCAATTATATTTTATAGTAGTAGTATTCAGAAATTCTTACAATTTACAATACAATTTTCAAAAATGGATAAAGACTTATAGCCAAATCTTGATATCATGCAGGGAGAATATACATTGATAAGCAATTATATTTTATAGTAGTAGTATTCAGAAATTCTTACAATTTACAATACAATTTTCAAAAATGGATAAAGACTTATAGCCAAATCTTGATATCATGCAGGGAGACTCTCTACAAATACAAAAATTGATTATCATAAGGAAATACAAATTTATCAATTTTCATGTGAAAATTACATAAATTTGTTCTCCAATAAATAGCAATAATACTTTGAATGTTATATTAAGTAATATAGCTTCAGGTAAATAAGCTTACACTTCAAAAATATACTGTTTATTCATTAATTTTAAAAAAAGTCCAAATTATCTAATCTTGCTTACTCTTCCTTTAAACTTCTTTGTGCCAAATTTAATATTGTCTTCAAAGATGGAATAAGGACATTAGGTTCAATCCTTCGGCTTTCGACAATTTCCAAAATGTGTTGAATTAATTTCAAACATTCATCGTGTTTTGAAGCTCTTTGCTCAACAATCTGATTACCTGCCCTTGTAAGAATTCTTACTGCTCTATCTTCATTCAAAACATTAGCGACTTGAACCTTAATAATCGCATTTGGAATCACAACAGTGATGAGAGTTATGACGATATAAAAAAATATTTTATTATACTCATTCGAAATTAAAAATAATAAAATTTATATATATTAATTTCATTAAATCAAGGTTAAAAATCTCACCGGAAAAATAACCTCAGTGTGATAAATTTATCACCGGAAAAATTTACAATAAGGTTAATACCGAAAATATCGAAAAATAAACATTTAAGGTTAATTTAAGAGTATGCACTTTTGTCACCTACTCACTTAATTTTATGTTGAATATTTGTCACAAACATTAGATTATTAAAATATATGTTGGATATCCCTTAGTATGAGACTTCATGACTCTTGTTGTCTAACGTGAGCTTTGGATTGCAAGCTCTGTGGTTAACGAACATAAATTAATTGTAAAGTTTTCAAAAATTTTCATCGTTTCTATCAGCATCTATTTTTCCTTTAAAATAATATATTTGTATGAATACAATATTTAGTAATTTTTTTATTTCCCATAATTTCATTCAAAATTTCAGAAAAAATTAATTTCTATTCAATATTATTTCAGCTTCAAAACACTTCATTCTTATAGATGTTGATTCACTAAAGTGTGATTCTATTTATATGAGGTAGGGGCATGAGGCTCGGCAAGTCTTATTGCTTTTTACCTCAATTTAGGTATTAAATAATTATAATGATTCATAGTGGCCGCTGCTGACTGGCCATCAGCAGTCCCCTGGCCAAGATTAATATAATTATTTAATACTTATCCAGTTTTACATCAATAACAACAAAGCTAATCAATCATCATTCAGAAATGCGGGAAATTACTACTAATATTAAAGATTGATAGACATTAGGCTGGCCACCTTCTGTCTAATATCTTTACCAATAAAAATAATACTTTTTAAAACAAATTATTTAATAAATTTTATTAAAAAACGAAATCAAATATCAAATTGATCATCATTCAACTTGATGAAGAAGCGGCATGCTACATATTCTTCTTTGCATGATTCGTTCATTGAATTTCTTGTCTTTCGCAATTCAGATATTACACGTTCTACATCTGCTTCACTGCACGAAAGTGACATCATCCTTTTTCCAATTGGTCTTATTGCTTTTAGTTGCTTTATGCCATTCATGTACCAAAACTTGCCATCATTTTGAGCAAGATGATGACCATTTATAAGATGGGAATCATCTTGCTCTATGAAGAAATCGGAAGCATCACTCAATTCCTTGGCTCTATCGTCTTTATTGATCGTTGGATCAACTGTTGATTCGGCAATTGCTCTTTGTCTGAGGATTGTTATCATGAATGTGTATAGATCTTTTATCTCTTCATCTACAACATCCCAGACCAAGGAATTCCTCGAACCATCGGCATTTGTTTCGGCTGCATGATCGTCGTTAAGCATTTGTTCCTCTTCTGCTTGCTGGATCTCTTCATCATGCTCGGCTACCTCGTCAACACGTTCTGTTCGTTCTTCTTCAAGGATTTCGCCGAGTTTCTCAAATGTGATCTCGCGATTGATGATCCTCAGGGAAGGAATCGTTGGGACTTGCACATCTTTCAACTGCATTATAGGTGGATAGTTTGTCTTTCCTCCAAAACCCTTCTTGTCTCTGATGATCTTCCTTGCTAACGGTGTAAAGCCGAAAGCAAACCGAAGCAAATCAATTCTACCATATTCTTTCATATCATTTTTGAATATTGTAGTGATTGATCGGAGAATCTCTTCACCATCTGGCGTTAATCTTCCTGCCATTTCATCCAACATCCCTTGGCACTGTTGTATCATCAGGAATGCATAAGCACCCATGGACTTGTTGGATTCCAGCCATAATTGAAGTTGCTTTAATGGCTTGAATATCATTAAAGCATCTTTAAAGAGTGGAGGAATTCCATCACGTGTCCATTGTAACTGTTCACGTGTAGCTCTGGAAAGGGATAGTGGAAGATCTCCACTTCTTAAAGCAGTATTAATTGTTTCCAGATTATCAAAGATGAAAAACAGAGTATCATATATGTAGAGCCAGCGAGTTTCCGGGATTGATGGAACCCTGATCTTGTATCTCGCTCTCATATCGTGATTCTTAAAGATAATGATAATCTGGTGAACTCTATTCATCAGTTCATTCAACAATGGACATTGCTTACGTGCGTGGACAATAGCATTGTTCAAGACGTGGTTAAGGCAACGAATGTACACGGTTTGTAAGCCAGGGAAAAGGGCTCCTTCTGGCCTCCAGTGGCAGAGTCCTTTAACCTGGGCTGGCAAACCATCTCCGACTACTCCAGCTACGTGGTTTTTATTAACCTTACGAGAATCAAACCACGTATGGTAGTCCTCGTATGTCCAATTAGTCGAAATTGTTGTGTCGAAGAATTGGTGGCGATCTGTTTTGCCTGGATTGCACACACAAGAG